TGCTTTACATTGTAGAAATAATAAAATCTCCATCTAAACAAAAGAAGTTGCCTCTTACAATCATCCCTGTCACATGTTGCACAAATATACTATATATTTCAGCCTACAAAACTAAATGTTCTTTGAAATTTTCAGACAAAAAAAGGTAGGTAATGTCTCTGAAAATCAGGCCACCAGAATAGTGAAGGAAATCAGTCTTTCAGCATCTACCAACAGCAGCAACACTGTGGTTGGTTACCGACCAGCACATAAATCACATCACCCACTATTTCAGCACATCTTTACTCAAGATTTTAATCACAAGGCTGATTTATGTTCACTAAATGATCCAGCAATTGCTTTACAAGCCATTTGCTCAAACACAAAATCCTCCCTATATTCTCAAAAGTTGTGTGATATTGATGTGCAGCCACTCATGCCAGTAGGAAAGTAAGTATTTTAGTAACTCTACAGTCTGTATTTGTGACTTGTAAACATAGGGTAGGGTGGAGGGGTAGAGGGGGTGAGAAATAAAGGGTTGTTTCAAAGACACTTTGTTTTCTTTGTGTAACAGCACTTGGACTCAAAGCTCATTTTCCAAACTAATCCCTCTAAATGAATGGACAGAGGTCTTTTTGCCACATCTTAGCAAGCTCTCAAAACACACTGAACTTAAGGAATGTGTGAACCCTTTGGGTACATCACACCCCACCAGACTAAAAATAGCTGTACTTTTACATTTACATTGCTAATGGGACTTCTGGGTCTTTTTTTGAAAATATAAAAGCAAACAAGCAGTTTCACAAGTAAATATCCTATTTGTTGCTGAGTTATACAGCTGTTTTCTTGGTAGCTTTGATGTCTGCTTTCTAAACCCTTCCCATGTTAGTCTTTGTTTCTCTTCTCTAGGAAGAGGATGAATTTACTAATAAAATGGATGCACTGATGGAGAAGTGCATGGAAAATATGAACGTTTAGTCCTTCACCCAACATCAGACCACAAAGAGTCAACTTATAAATTGGATTGACGGATCCAAGCACAGCTTGTATATAAAGCTATAACACATGGAAACACTGAAGTGACAGCTTGAGTTCTATTTTATCAGTTGCTTACCCCATTACTCTATCTCCACATGCAAAATGTGTCATCCATTTTCTGTTCTCAGCCCAGTTCCTCTAGTCCAAAGAAGTAACAAGCTAATTTTTAGAACCAACTCAAGCACCATCAGTGTGAAATCACTCTGCTCCTATGTGTTACACACAACGATAGCTGTCAAAACTTCTTAGAACCAAAAAGTTACCTAAGACTAAAAACAAACTTAAAAAGCAATGGCAATCACATTTCCTTTCAAATAAGATTAAAATCTAAGTGTGGAGATTTTCAAGATTTTTAGAAACCAAGCATTTCAAAGAAATTTTAACTCTGAAGAAAATGGCGATCATAGAATCATAGAATCAACCAGGTTGGAAAAGACATCCAAGATCATCAAGTCCAACCCTACCGTGGTCACTAGACCATGGCACTAAGTGCCACATCCAGTCTCAGCTTGAAAACCTCCAGAGATGGTGAATCCACCACCTCCCTGAGCAGCACATTCCAATGCCTGAGCACTCTCTCTGTAAAAAATCTCTTCCTAATATCCAACCTAACCCTCCCCTGGCAGAGCTTGAGTCTGTGCCCTCTTGTCCTGCTGCTGGTTGCCTGGGAGAAGAGACCAACCCCCACCTGACTCCAACCTCCTGTCAGGGAGTTGCAGGGGATGATAAGGTCTCCCCTGAGCCTCCTCTTCTCCAGGCTGAACACCCCCAGCTCCCTCAGCCTCTCCTCATGGCACTTGTGCTTGAGTCCCTTCACCAGCCTCATTGCTCTTCTCTGGACCTGCTCCAGCCCCTCAATATCCTTCCTGAACTGAGGGGCCCAGAACTGAACACACTATTCAAGGTGGGACAACGTTGCAGTCTAGTTCTTTTGGAAAAATAAAAACTGATACAGAAATTTATTTCAGTATCTAGAGTTATCACAAGAAAGTAGTATAACATCTGTCAAATTTATATTGCAATTTGATAAAGAAATAATGCCTCTTAGTTTTATTTGTCCTTTTTTTTTAACACAAGTTTGTATAAAGGATTTCACTTCTAAGGTTAATTGAGCATGAATCAGACTGTGAAAGTTTATTTATCTTTGCAGTCAAAATCAGAGATCTTATACAGTTTTCACAATTACTCTAAAAACACAAGCCCCAACATAGCTTGGGGCTATGAAATCTTGACCAAACAAGTCAAGATTTCTGCTACAGTATTGTTTTAGCTGTGACTATCAACAGATATGTGCTTTCTTGGAAAACACAGCATACAAATCCTTACCTGCAGCTCTGTAAAGTATTTTAGGTTCAAAGAATATGCATGGATTTTTGTCCTCTATGCATGACAGCAGCAGTCCTTTGGCCTGAAGAGGACTCCTTGGAATAACAACCTGTAAAAATAATTTTTAAATAGTTTATTTAAATTGCAATTCTGCTAGAAACTTCCTCAATAATATTGAAAACTATGCAAATATTTTCTTTAAATAAACCTATCTACAGATTGAGCAGTTTTCACAAAGTGAATTAACATCAGTGCTACATTACTAACACACACTCCAAATTTTGAATTTTATTCTGTTCATTAATGAGGCTTTAATAGTTCCCATCTCCACCATGACTTAAATACGAAGGGACTCCCCTCCAGTAAGGCAGAACTAACATCTTAAGAATAAAATTTTGAGGTAAAAGGAAGACAAGAAGGTTAGTCAGATTAAAAAACAAAATTCAAACAAT